ACCAACACTCACGTAATATGGACCCCGAAACTAGCTCCATCGCTAACCACGGCTTGAATATGGACATTGAACAAAACCAAAGCGTGTCTCATGATAGCCTGCACACAGAAGAAGTGACTTCTTACCAATCCGTATAAGCTGTGGAACTGATTTGATAGAGCGAAGGCGACATAATCTAGATCTTAATCAGGTTCAGTCTATTATAAGACAGTGGATAGCTCCTCGACGAGTAAGTGTCAATTCAATTAATTATTTAAATTACTCTTTTTTTAATAGATATGTATTGTATATGCTATTCCTATAATGCAAAATAAGGTTTTATTGTTTTATATAATTATAATCCTCATATAATGTTGTATTATAATAAATGAAAAGATGTTTACTCCTAACACATATTAAGCTGACTTGTTATCAAAAATATATAATTTAAATAGAAGGCGGGCAGATTTTCAACCTATAAATGTAAACATGGACACTTTCATATTTCCAAGAATAGAATATATTGATATTATAAAAATTGCATGTGGGACATAACAACTAAAACAAGCCTGTTTGTATTAGGGGCAGCACATAAGAGGCGATGGTTCCTATACTATAGAAATATGTAGAAATATAGCCAGCGACCTATTGGTTGACTACCCGATTCCTTTGGCCAACTTCAGATTATTGCGTGGAAAAATACATAGCAGGCATGTAAATCGAAAAATATATTTTATATATATATATTGTGATTATTTTCATATAACATCACAATGGTTAGGAAGCTATAAAAGAATATTATTGTAATTGCATGGTTGGCCGAAGGACAGTGCGTTGCTGTGCCTATATAATGACTATTTTATGGTTTTTAAGTTGGGCAAGGTATCAGGAACACATTTCACCACCTGTCTAATTTCTTGAACACATTAATAACATATGATAACTCAGAATAAAAATAAATCATAAAAATTTTTGTTTTATTTCACTTTAACCTGTTTGTCCTCACATGACAAAAATCTCTTTTTAAACATTTTGATACAAAATTAAGTTTATATTCTCATTATTACTAGTTAGTGCTTTTAAACTAATTATAAAAACTATGATAAAATGTCTGTTCACGTCAGGCCAAAGTCCCCATACTAAGTGGACAATCTCCTTTGCCGCGTTTATAAGTTGTCGGTAAGAGACGCGTCATTAATGGTAGATTATTTTTAGGTTTTTTGTGCATTTTATGATTATTAAAACTTGGCGAGAGATAGACAAAGGGATATAATTGAGGAGGCAATATTAGTGAACTTTACTGTTATTCCTTTGTATTTTCAGGTAAGATAGAAATATAATTGTTATCATATTGTAAAGGCGTACAAATAAAACAAACTTTTATATTTTTACAGAAGCGAATTGTAATTTATTTTGAAAATCCTCAATGATATACCTTATACAGGGTGACTGGTGAATTACTATCGATATTTGAGGACGTGATATTTGACGATCATATATGACAAAATAAAAATTAATATAACATAAATATTAATAAACTTCTAAGTAAAGTAGACCAAAAGTTATGTAATTAATTACGCATCGTGTGAACACCCTACAGATTAGGTATACACACACACTCACACATATGCGTGCTCGGCGTGGTGTTGTATCAGCACGCCGCCGCACGCGACCACACTTGGAACATTTGGAACGTGTCAACACTTTATTTATTTATACGGAAATTTTGTCAAAAATTAAGTGCCTATTTTTTTTACATAATTCGAATGAGAATCATGTACCGAGTATTCTCCTTAAATATTGATAGTAATTCACCAGTCACCCTGTATAATTTCAATCCACTTCCCGCTCATTCCGCGAATTTATTGATCTGCTTATATTCTTCAAATTATCCGTCTCCTCTTAACAAACTAAGTTCTACCCTTTAGATACGATACGTTTTATGATTTTCTTTTCCTTCCTCTTTTTTAATTCATTTGTTTGATTTGGCTATTCGATATTTACGCTTAGTAAATTTTTATATGTAGGTATATATCGGATTTATTACAAATTCCGTTGATTTTAAAGAGAGAGAGACGCCAGCCTCGCTGACGTAACAAATGTCACTCCTTCTAGAGCATTCGATGATATTTTAAAATGAAACTGCAATTGTTCTTAATGCTCCTGTATTTCTCCAAGATTCTTCATAATAACATAATTCATTGATACACACTCACTGAACTCTGAATTATCAATCCTGAATTCTCAATTCTGGAGTCCACCGTCGTACATCCAGACGTCATATTTATAACAAGATTCAAACATAGTTCTATTCTCCTTTGATTTCGTTTTACTTTTAACAATAATCATAAATACTAATGAGGTTTTAATAAGAATTGATGACAGCCTCAAATTATTTTCAAGTCGCATCCGTTATTAAAGCTGGTAGCGCCGATACGGCCATTCTGACAGGCGGTGCGTGCTCTGCACCTGCCTGGTTATGTGTTCTCTCTTGGTTGGTTTTCGTTATGTTCTTGGACCAGTCGCGCGTCTCGTAAGGTAGATGGGACAGGATCAAGAATTGATGCTTCATCTTCCGAAGTCATGCCGATATATATATTAACCTCTTTTTTTGTCAGTCTTAAGCATACTTTCTAGTTTTGTGCGCTTATTTTAATGTATAAATTCTCTTCTTGTTAAAGAAAATTCAATGTCTGCAAAACAAAATTGATTTATTTAAATAAGATGTCTTTTTTTATGTGAAAGGGGGGCAACCGAGTAGACGGCCTACTTGATGGTAGGTAGTTACTGTCAGGGCCGTGCCTGACGGGCGTTCATTGCGTGCACCGCACGCAGGCGGCCGAAATTAAGAGGCGGCCAAATCGTTACAAGTTGTTTACTGGGCAAAAATACAATCGGTTTGTTTTCATTAAGATACGAAGTAAAAACAGTTTCTCTAATCTAATCTATCTAAAAAGAGTTTCTCAGAAATAAGAAATGTATAAAAACTGATTAGGTCGTTGTAGTATGTATTTATATAAGTACCTAGTCATGCAGCGAATCCGAATTTTTTCGAAAATTGCACGAGCGACGAGCCGAAATAGTTTTTTCAATTGACCGGCGTCGCGTAAGCGGTCTTATTCGTCTTATTAGTCGTATTAGTCTATAGACTAGCGAGGATAAATCGTTATTTGTGTCCTGTGTGTGATCCGATATTATTAAAGTCTTTAATTTAACGAATAAAAATAAATTGCTTAATTCCTGAAAACTTTTAGTTGTGTGTTCGTGAGGTGAAATTTAATAAAAAGTTTATTTACTCGACTAAGACTGAAAAAGGTAATACACAAAAAATGTAAAATTTGGGCAGACTTTCACTTTTGGGGCCCGGGAAAATTTGGCGGGTCTTTTTGGAGGGAAAAGGCCTTTTGATATGAAATTCTTTAATAAATATTAAAAAATATTTAATAATATTAAAAAATAAATAAATAATAATTAAAATAAATAATAAAATAGCTCAATTTAATATTAAATTACTTAAAATCTATAATTAATGTATATTTTAATGCGCATAGGATGACACGATAAGAAAATCATTTATAAGCTTCTTAAGTAAAACATATTTTTAAACATAAATATGTCAAGATTTATTTTGAAAATGAAAACGGAGAGGAAAATTGATTTTTTTCCCGGTTTGATGCCCTGTGTATAATAATAAACATTAAAAATTAAAGTAGTTTTTTTTAATGTTATCCTGGGGGCGACCATACAGACTGGCACGCAGGCGGCCATATACCCAGGCACGGCCCTGGTTACTGTTACTAACTGCAACGTAGATATGCAGATGTGTAGCCGCCCTTGTTTGGGGAAAATCGGGAGTAAAAGGTGGGAAAGGGTGGGAAAAGGGAAAGGGCAACCGGCTCTCTCACTAACCGGACGAAACGCAGCCATTAAAGACTACTTCACGCCGATTTTCTGTGAGAGGGTGGGACTTCCCCGGTCGAGCCAGCCCATGTTCGAGCTGTAGTAACTTGACCAATGACCACAGCTAGGCTCTACCACCTCTAAGAGTCTGTTGTCACCACCACCAGATATCTGAGCAAATATTTATGAATATAAAATTTCTGCTATCATTGTACTATCGAAAACTATGAAAAACATCGAAACAATATACTTTTCTGTACTAATATTTAAACATATCGATTTTGAAAAATATTTGAAGATACAGAGTATTATAAACACTTTTTTTACCATCTTATTCTGAAATATGATATTTTAATACACAGATAATCAAAATGATAGATGTGAATAAAATTGTGATAATTTAGTTGTTCTATTTCTATTTTAAACATATATTTGTATAAACACTTAGTTTTCTTGTAATATTTGTAGAAATTTATGATTATAAAGTTTCTTGTTTACTATCTAAAATAAGTAACTTGTTCTAATAAAATTAATTATATTTCGATTAACAAAACCCCTTCGATCCTTTGTTTTTAGAATAACCTCTGTCGAAGTTATTTGATAATGTTTATATATTTATTTAACAATTTTTTAAACATGCCAAAAACATTAAGGACAAAAAATATGAGACAGGAAAAATAAGTTTAAAAGGTATACTTATCCCTAGAAGAGATTTCTTCCAGTACACCCAGGAAGGAAAAAGTGTAGACAGAGAACTTAAGGTAGACAGGCAAAATCGAACAAAAGGAGAAAAGATACAACAACAAAAAAAACATAAACTTATACTTAACAAGAAGAAAAAAATAATAATAACAAAAAAAAAAACATTAAAGTTAATTTTACTTAAAAATATATATTAAAAAATAATTATACATACATATATTGATATATAAATACATAAATAAGTAAATATGTCTATGCCATTTTATCACGAATTAATATTTGGATAGGAAGTACTCTTTCAATTTCTTTTTGAAAGTGTAGACGGACTTACAAGTGCGAATTGTAACCGGCAGCGAATTCCACAGTCTCGCTGCATTGACAGTGAAATACATAGTTAGAGTAGAAATTGGAAGTATGGGATGGGATATCGAGTAATAATTGGACATTGGGGCGACAAGGGGAACCAGGGGGATGCAAGAATACAAAACACTCACGAAGGTAAGTGGGGTACAGGGGATTAAAGAGGACGTTGTAAAGAAGACATAAAACGTGAGTAAAACATGTTTATGGGTCATGTTTAAATTAATCAAAAATTAAAACCAAACGGATACTATTATTTTAATAACTTGAAGGATTTTTTTTTATTTTTTGCAATCATATTTCGAAATCTTCGTAACACATGTAAAAGTTTGGATCTAAATTGTAGTACCAGTTACTCAGGTAGTTTTAAAATTTAAACTATGGTATTTAATTGTCACGTCCGATAATAATATAGTTTTCGCCTTAAATAAAAGCTTCTTTTTATATTATCCTTACTTTTACGATATAACTGGCCACGTATTTAGATTATTTTTAATTTCAAAACTTTTACCTTATTCTAGAAGTGAATTAAAAAGTAACTTGTCATCGACCTTGAACTCATATAATTGGAAAAAAACGTTAATTATACTTAGATACTTTGATTCCTAAACACTAAGAACTTTTTGTTTCGGGTTGTACTTTATGTGAAGGCTAATGAAGTGAAGACTTAGGCCTCGGCCTCGAATTTTGCGGGCAGCGGAGCGGCAGCGGGAGCGGCAGGATCTTACGCGTATAATCAAATGGACCGACCCTCGAATACAGCGTTGCCCGCTGCCCGCTATTTTGGAGAAATGTATGCGTTTTCGTGCCGCCGCCGCTGCCGCTCCGCTGCCCGCAAAATTCGAGGCCGAGGCCTTAAAGTGATCTACGGAGGTTTACACCATAAACATTATTCATTTGTGACAATCTTAATAGTTTTTTAAAGTATGCATACTTTACGTGTTGATTGAATTATGTACATTATTAATAAGTTAAAGATATATTTTGTTACTAGAAACCTGTACCGGCTTCGCACGGGTGCAATGCTGATGCTAAATACATTACAGAAAAACTGTGAACTTTATAATGCTATTTACACAAATATACAATTTTATGCGTCAAATAAAAAAAAATAGGAAAGGAGATCGAAAGTATTTCATACAATTCTGGGCCCTAAATGTAAAGACATGAAAAAAGTATCAATTTAAGCTTTAAAATTAAGCCTTTCTATATTGAAAATTCTATAGAAATTGACAATCAGATAGCCGAGTTATAGGAGGTTTAGTAAAAGTGACGTTATATTGCATTATCTTTAAGAGTTAGATTAATACACGTAAAAGTAGGTGAAAAATAATTATTTAATTTAGACGAGAATATCTGATAAGTTATAACAAGGCAAGAAAGACTCAAAGACATACAGTTATCGGTAACAAGTATGGAATTCTACGAGGAACAGGTGTCAACTATGTGATAAAAGTCATAAAATAAAAGAAATAATATTAATAGAATATTTTATTCCTCTTCAGTAATAATTAAAATATCGTCTAGGAACTGTGCAGGGGGTACAATATTGTGGTACCTTGCCCAGCTAAGGTACCACTAACAATTCCAAGTCAAACAAGCAGGCGATCGTCGGTGTCCAATGTGCAATCAAGGGTCGTAAAACGTTAGGCGGGTTCGGACTCTGTAAAAAACAAAGCAGTGGTCGTTGAAAACGTAAAATGATCGGGAAAGGACTCGAAACGCATCGAAAAACACGAAACAAGTGAGACTCGGATAACAATGCATCTGGTATGGTAATTGTTAAGCGTCAATGTCATGTTGCCATAGACTATATACTAAATGATTTCGATCTAATCGAATCGAATGGAATCGATAATCGAAAAGGATGTTTTAAAATAGTATTTAATATTATTATTATGTGAATACAACGTGTATCATTAAAAGTTATTTTTATTGAATTGTAGACATATAGGTGTATTTTAAAGGTGTATTTTAAATGAAATTACTATAAGTTTAAAACTAGGAGCGAATTTTTTATTTTGTAGTTAAATAATCGAATAATCATTTTTTATTTAATTAATCGTTCATCGATTACTTCATAAAAACAGTTATTTGCATATTTCTCCCCCTGTAGATTGAGAATTTATTCAGATTTTTGGTATTTCATACAAAAAATAAACTAATTTTTTAAATCAATTTTTAACTCATTACATTTTAGGCCCAAAAGTTTCCATCTCCTTTAATTCTTAGATATTATTTCGTGATCTTAACCCCCCTCCCTTTGCGTAGGGTCCTGTCGAAAATAAGTAAAAATATTCATTAAATGGGAAATTTAGAAGTGGTACGATTTAAATGCTAGTACGATATAACCAACTCTCCCCTATATCATACGACAGATATAAGTCATAAATTCCTACAACTTTGGAAACACTGAGGTTTGAAATAGTTTTGAGTTCTATCTACACTGGCTTCGTCTATTTTCTACTGTTCAGTGTCCTTTTTGGTAGTTACGTAACTCTTGTTTTAGTTCTGTCATCCTTCAACACAGGTTATTTCAAAAATATGTATACCATTTTGTTTACGTTTTTTCTCTTTAATTTTATAAAATATATCAGTAATTGAATAACATGTTACATGTACATATTGACATAATGCACGTCGTTCATAACGTCTACTAGTTTCACCTATTTTTTTAAATTGTCATTATGAATATTACCTACTTAGTTTAAATAACAACATAATATCACCATTATATACCAGTGGCGTGAACACCATTGATGCAAATAAGCACTACATACCATACGCATATAAAAACTAAACCTATATTGTTTAATTCTTACTTACATAGTTTTAATCATACATTACGAAATACAAATGTCAACAGACATTAAAAATGACATTTGATTCATGATTTGCTAATAAGTGCCATCTTACAATGCTAAAACGAAACATTTTCGATTAGCCGCTGCTAACTGCTAGCGCCGCTATGCAGCCAGAGCGGCGGTATGCACAATCACTCTCAGTTTATAGTCTAAGATCCCACTGTAGGATTGGTGCGGTCATCACTTATTTGTTTAAAAACAAATTTTTATATTTATTTATTTATAGTTAGGAGAACATAATATATTTACTAGGTTGCCTATCAAAATTTGGCCGCCATAATTTTTAATTTATTTTTTTGGAAAAATTCCGTTCATTTATTTATTAAATAAAGAAAATTATACATGACAGTAATTTATATGAAGATTCTAAAAAATCATGGTTGCCATTACGCACCTAGCCGCAACTCTTCGCAGCCAGGGTGTGTTCGCAAAAATTAACCTAGTAAATATAATATGTTCTCCTAACTATAAATAAATATAAAAATTTGGTTTTAATCAATTAACCTATGAACGCAGCAATCCTGCAGTGGGATCTCGGACTATTATTATCCATACAAAACGTGTCAAGGACGATCTACAAATCTCGTGTATGTATACAAGAAATGTTTGTATGCGTGTGTGTGTAAAACTAACACATGCATAGTGTATGGAAAGCATTGATTTAAATTTTGAATTGTTTGTAGAAAGTCCGTTAATTGTCAAACGAGACGGGGCTCTCTGATTGGTCGGTAATCTGGTTATACTTTTGTCGCCATTTTATTATTATGCAATATTGTCATTTGTTTTTCTAAGCACAAGTGAATACGTTTTAATTAGTAAACAGTGGATTAATTTATTAACGAATTATGGAAAATTATAGCTGTGAGTTCTGTGCTTGTGAAATGTGTTTAATGAAATTAGTAACGAGTGTGTACATTTTCAATATTGACGTTTGGTAATAAAATTAAAATAAGTGTAAAGTCATGGCGTGTGAGCTGTTGTGACCAGTTGAGATTGAACTAAAAGAAAGGTAATGTTATTCGTTTTAATAAAAAGTATTATGATAGTTTTAATTAGTTAGCAGGTTGTGTACACCCAAATAAATTATTTTGTTTGCCTTGTTTGTTTTTTTCAAAAGATTATAATAAGAATGTTTGAAAATGGAACTCCGCTGGATATTTCTATTTAAATAACTTTTATAAAGCTGTGATGAACAGATCATAAAGTATATACTAGATGTTCGTTCTGATCGGACTGCTGTAACATTATTCGCGAAGATTATCAATGTTTACATGAGATTAATATTTTCTGATTACTTCTCGTATTTTATTATGTTAAAAACTACATACCTACTCCCGACGTTTCGATGACTTTTCAGCAACCGTGATCACGGCGGACATCTCGTCTGCCCGTTAAAAAAATAACAATATTAGTTTATTTTGACTAAATAGTTTTCACGACCGTAAGAAGATTAGTTTAATTGTTAATTTAATTGGTCTCTAGTACATATTGTGGAAAATTAGATTTTGTTACCGTTTATAACAATAACTTCTAATTCAAATATCATTCCGTATAAGGGTCCGAAATATATAAACTGCAATAAATATTTCTAAGGGATTGCTATAAAAATTCAACTGAAACTTGAAATAATAATAAAAAAAACAAACTGAAAACACCGTCCGCCATGTTTTTAAGTAACAATATTGTAAACAACGTAATATCAAACGCTATTTTAGGTTATTCGTGGTCTTTCATTTATACGCCTTGATAATTATTTATACCACGTAAAAAGAATAAAAGATTGTTAGATGGAGTATACTCTCTTCTTGACAACATCCTCATCATTTGTTACCAAATGTTTTCTCTCCTTTTGACAACTAAATCGAGTTGGAACACAATTAGTTTTCATTCTGATTCTTTTATCTGAACCCATGATTTTATATTGTTTATAATTTTCCATGTCACTTTCAAGCTAATATAAAAACAGAACCAATGTTAACACGTGGGCAATTTACTACGCATAGTCGCTTACTGAAACTTTATTTAGAAAGAAAAAATATTAATACATTATAGTTTAAAGTGAAAATTACAAAAATTTATTTGTTGTAAGTTGCTTTAACTTACATTGAAGTGATCTTCACAGAAATACACTGCGGTTCGACTGACAGAGTTACAGGATCTGTTTTAGCTAGTTGTAATCAGGTATTACACATATTCTCAACACTGGGTACTTTAATCCACAACTTTTCCGGGTTCTTTATTGATGCATTCTTACATTTCCGCTGGATATAATAG